CAGCAACATCGAATCATTATAGATAGAGAGAGAAGTTACATTTAAAAAAAATGATGTTTCTTTTTGTTTATTGTTACCCGAATTTTGATCTTGTCATGTACCTTTAGTAACCTAACTGCTAGCTGATCTCACCGGAGACAGTGTTGTGTCTATTAAATATGTTTACTATCCCTACATTGTCTGGCATAACTTCACTAAACAAATGACGTCACCGAGGTAAGTGTCGCATGTGTACGGGGCAGTACGTGTCGCGACATATGGCCTTGATAAATGTACTGACGTCATGATCACATGTCCAGGCGAGGCAAGATTCCCGGTAACACGTACAACGCACTAATGACCCACACAAAATGATCCTCAATGTCATGTCACGTTTCCCACATATGAATCACGCCGGATAGGTTTTAGGGCGGTTTCAATTTGTCCGGAAGCTTGACATTAAACGAAAAAGTATACATGGGGGGGGGGGGGCAAAAGATTGTTTATAAGTCGGTTTATATGGTCGCAGTTTCAATAAATTCATGTTTTTGAATAATGTTTTCATCATGCCAAAGCTTCTTGCAATAAACAATACGAGTTTGTTTTTGGACCTTACCAGCTTACCAGGTAGCCGTCGCGCCGCATCCTGTTCGATATGGGACTCATAGCGACATATACAACGCGTGTAAAATACATTGTATATTTACATGAAATTCGAACACGCGCAGCGCGACGACTACCGCGCTTCAACTTTCAGTTAAGCGACATATCTACATGAAATACTATGTAATAGACTTTTCGACAATTTGAGAACGGCCCTAGGGTGTGTCTGTTAGAAGTTATTAATACCGTTACAAGTCAATAGACACTCACCCCCAGTATCAACAATAATATTAGTTTAACGATACCACAATTTAGTAGATATTAACATTGTGGAGTAAACGGTACGTGTCAGCACGTGGGGACTGTAATGACCGCTTTACAATGTAGGTCATTACTGGTCAGTCACCAATATGGGGGGCAGTGTGTGTAAGCTTATTCATTACAGTCGTCGCACGAGCGCGCATTGTATCACGCGTTGTATACGTCATACGTGGGACTCCTATCGAACACGACGCGTTGTGCCGACATTGTCCGTTATATTAAAAGAAATCATATTACGCTGACTTGAATTTGACCCTTAAGAGAAAATGAATGAATGTTCAAACTTTATGTACACGAAAGTACGCCAGCTTTATCGATGAGGGCGCATGCCAACATTTATAAACGAAATTGACAGGACCTCCAACTTGACGGTGATAGAGGGCTGGAGATTGTTGACAAATACGTCTTGCAGACACAAACTTTTAACAATACAATGCAATATATTTTTAAGTTTTTGATGACATTAACGATCAGAATTCCAAGGATTAAAGTTGGGGTATTGTCAAAGACAGAGCTACGTTAGAATCCCCAAACATTCCCAAGACAAATCACAAACAAGAATAGACAATAAGTTTTCGGATTAACAACTCGATTTCCCCCATGCTAACGAAAAATTCCCTTTTCTTCTGACTTCCTGTTCTTTGAAAATTAGATCGTTCATAAAGCTTAAAGCGGGAGGATCGTTCCCTGCTCTCGCATGGGAATTGAGTCCCAAGCATGATGACGCACGCTAAGAACGCAAAGGCCTATGGGTAGACTCTTGTTTGTAAACAATGACACGCTATGGCCACTTGACGCATGCGTAGGTGACGACTCCCCCGCTTTAATTATAAGGTAGAAACGAGTTTCCACCTTATTGGATTTTGCAAAGCATTATGGGTTGGGTAAAGTACCCACAGTAGGCGCTTTGGGTGGGGTGGGGGTCTCGTATCCTTTCTATACAGCCCTGTGTCAACATCAACTGTGAACCTCTTGTTTTCAAACAAAGTTGTTTGTGTAATTGTGTGGCTGAGAAGATTGTTTTAAAGATTTGTTTTCTGTTTTAGACCCCAAGCCGTCTCTATCTGTAGGAATCTTAGAAATAGGCAAGTGAATCTCATTTTCATTCATTCAAGTTGCATTTTATGATTTTTCTTCATATCACAGGAGAAAAAAACCCTGAATTAACACACTATTTAGGTTGCAGTGTATTCAGTCCTATTCACTTACTTATTACAGCAGCTATGATGCGAGTTTATACTCTGACAATATGAACACTTGGACTGAAGATGGAGGTAAAATAAGCTTTTTATGCCAATAAAATACCAACACATGGTGGTTTGGCAATCAATAGCCATGGTGCCCATAACATACAAACAAAACATGTTTTGACCATCAATAGTAATAGTGCAAATATATAAAATTGTCGTTTTTCAAAAGGTTCTGCAAGACACCACCTATTTTACCTAATAAATATTTAAATACTATAAATAAATAAATATAACATACCTTTAATTAAAATTAAGTCTTTTCATCAGAAAAGACCAATTAAAAATGCAGGTACAACTATAGTTTAAGGCAGACATTTCAAGAATGAAGAGAAAGAAATACAAATTTGGGGGAAACCATACTCAGTTCAGAGAAAATTAATTTATAAAATAGCATATTTTGTCTGTTTTAGAGCATTTTACCACTGTTTCTTATGGCATGTATATATATATATATATATATATATATATATATATATATATATATATATATATATATATATATCTATAATTGAATCAATGACATAGGGCAAACATATTATAGAAAGTGTTTTAGAAGATACTGGTAACCACTGCTAAAACTGCCATTGTATGCATAATAATTGACAGTTTTTTTGGAAAACAGACTGACAATGAACAAAAGAGTAGCATTCTATATAAATATAAAATAAAATGTACCAGTAACTGACAGTTCTTGTCTACAAATGGCATAAATATTTCAAACTATTAAATTTTTTCATATACATAACTGCCCGATTGTAGAATAGAAAAATAAGTTGTTCTTTTATTGTCAACAACCTGCATAAAATATACTGTAGAATACTTTATTTTCGCTTGGAATTTGTTTTTGCTATTTTCGCTGAACGGATGATTCCGTGAAAATAAAATCCAGCGAATATACTTTTTTTCCTATATTTCACATTAAACTCATCAAAAATCAGAGAAAATAAATTCCATACAAAACGCTCAATAAGTCTTTTCAGCGAAAATTAATTCCAGCGAAAATAAAGTATTCCACAGTATTTCACCTTATTTAAATTATAAAAAAATAGACTAGTTAGCACTCCAGTGGTTTTGTTGTAAATAGATAATTTTAACCTAAATATTCTTACCATAATTATATTAAATTTTATACAAAGCACCATACTCCTGTGGAATCTAATTGATTATTTTTTGATGGACCGATACGATTCCCAAATTCTGAATTTATATTATTGTATCTCCTCTGATAAAAATTTAATTTACAATGTACCTATTTTAATATTAATTCCGTGTGGAAGAAAAACTTTCCTGATAATATTAATGACATGGACACTGCTTTACTGCATCAGCTGTGAATTGGTATTCAATAAAAATGCTAATATACTAGAAAGTACAGTGTATTTACGGAAATTAATAACATATTTCACGACTCTCACTCTCACTCACAATCGCAGTTGATTTACTTGGAACATAGATTCCATCAAATCTATGTGTAAACTTCAAAGCAATTCTTCAGGGAAACATATTTTGGGTAGTGTAACTACTATCATTAATACAGCTGGTGAGAAACATTAAATAGTGAAATAAATTAGTTTTGAAGTCATGGGGTATTATTAGGTTAAGTCAAATGTCGCTCTGACCATTGTAAAATTGTACATTGACAAAGAATTGTGATTCGTCAAATGGTATGATCTAGAGTTATTTTTTTAATTTAACAATTTATGTTAATTTGATATAAAAATTAATTTCTTCAAAATAATCATATATTGTTCAAAAAAAACTATTTTAATAATTTAAAGATGGAATCAATAATGATTGATACTGTCAATGGTATCTTGAAGTTGGTGACCACATATCAGGATTGTTTCCAAAAATATCTTTAAGGTCCTCTGTGCATTCATCAAGCTTCATTACCGTGTTCGTGGATAACTGGATTAGTTTACAATTATCGATAACTTGTTGGGCATTCCTAGCACCAACGATCACTGCTGACACTCCTTGCTGAGCTAGTATCCATGACAATGATGCCGCTGTCATGGAAACACTGGCATCATGGCAAACATCTTTAATTTCACTGATTGCCTGTAATTGATGAGATTAAATAAAAGTATAATTATTAGAATGTATTTTAGGGATAAATGGGTTATATATCTCTCCAAGGTCAAGGTGAACGCATGTAGTTAGGCTCAGAAAAAAATATCATATTTATAGTCATTGAGCAGTCGTCCAAAAAAAAAATTAAACCTTCTGGGAACAAATCACAATAAAAGCACATTTGAAAACAGGCATGCATCATATTTTTTTCTAAGTCTTTTTTTCCCATGGTGCATCATAATTCTTGTTTAAAAAGACAAAATAATGACTTTTATTATCCCTTGTTTCGCGAAACAGCCGAATGAACAGGAGCCAAAAATGAAATAAAATAAAATTTTATTTCAGTGTAATTTCTCGCGCCCGCCGACTTGTAAGTGCAATAAATTGCTAAAATAAATTTATTTATATCTTCATTTTTTTCCCGCCCGCCGCATAACAAACCCAAGTTGTAATTTCGTGAGAGTATCATGATCAAAGTACCGAAGTCTCGCGCAGATGAGAAACAAGGTTATACATGGAATAAAATATTATTTCATTTTTTCTCTCCGATCAATGATCTCACTTACAATTCTTTGAGAATCACACAAATCTAATTTGAACAAGTCATTGTCAATGACACGTCCCCGTTCCGTTCATATTTGAGTGACATATACATTCAAAGCAGATCATGACCGAAATGCACCTGCATATGTACAACACATTGTACTAAATCTGAACAAAATCTATCCATGCATGACTGAGATCCGGTTCCGGAATTGTGAAAATACGTGATTTTGATGCATTTTCGGCCTTAAAATGGCCATCATTCAGCTATTGTTAAGCGGATCATGAAACAAATGCACATATCTATTTGTGACATAATGTACCATGTGTGTGTGAAGTTTGAACTTGATCAATCCAGACATGTCTCGGATACGGATCCAGAACTGAATTCTTTAACAAAATGGCCGCCATTCAGCCATTTCGAACT